CCCCGCCCCGAGGCGGTTGCGCAGCCGGGTCAGGGCCGGCCTTTCCCCGCCACGCTGATGTCTGCGGCGCGTTCGGAGCCCTCGGTACCCACCGCAGAAAAATCGGGACCAGGTTTAGCCGAAGAAGGAAAAAACTCGTTTTTGGTGTAGAGGTACCCAGGAGGAATGGCCGACGGCTGGTCCCTGCGCACCACGAAAACGCTGGCTGTGCACACGCGTTTGTGCAGATAGCGGGTGACAGAGCCAGCATCGTCAGGGCCCTGCAGATTAAGACGTGCAGTTGCTGGTAGAACAAATGTCAAGTGCCAAAAATCACAAATGACTGTTAGTGAAAGCTAACGGCCGCCTCATTTTTTTTCCACGCTGCAGGAGAGGCTTCCTGCTTTGAAGCTGTTGTGGTCACCAGGTAGATTCACCTGAGGATGGGCCTAAGTCTTTTGAAGATGTCCTCTGGTGAATGACTCGTAAGTTGAGGAAAATGGGCGACAAGGAATATGGGCTCACTCATAGTTTTACGCTGACTTTTTGCCAGACTGGTGACACCCTGTCAGCAATAGCCTTTCATTCCAAGTAATTGCAGATCGCGTGTGTTTTTGAGCCATGCAGAGGAGTTCTTTCCTTCTGTCGCTAAAAGCTGCCGCTTAGGAGTCGCAACGCGATCTCTTTTCAACGCACAGTACGGAGTGGGAAGATAAAGGAGGATTTCGTAGGAAGCGAAACTAACGGATGAACGTAGGGAGATCGACACCCTGGCTGCAAATAGCAAGGTGTGTCAGTGGTGAAGGGGAGTGCTAGCACAGCTGCATTGTCGTGGCCCTGTGAAAGGGTCGTTGGAGCATCTGTTGTGAATCTGATTGGGGTTTCATTATCGCTGCTATCTCTCTCCTAATTTTTAACAAATCCTGATTGCGAGGGAATTACTTTGATCTGAAGGCTGATAAAGGTACTCCTGCAAAATCAGTACTCTGCTTATAAAAGATACAAGTTGTAAGAAGTTTTCAGTAATTTGTGAAAACACTGTCAAGGGGAAGCACCGATGCAGGCATCTTCACAAAGTCTCCAGGCACTTTTCCTTCTCTTGGTCTGTCTAGGGAACGTTGTGTCTAATGAGCTTCCAAGAAAACGCAGCTTGCTGTTGGCACCTTGGGAGACGGAGGTTGTCAGGGCGCATAGTTACAATTACAAATCGCTTGTTTCTTCTCTCTTACGTGGTACGCATCTCAGTCCGAAGAGGAGCAGTCTTGAGGGACCTGTGGTACAATGTTGGCAATACATCAGTAGATGTCTTCTCCCTCCCGCCCTTGCTCCTCCCCCTTGGGCCCCAAATACAGTCAAGTTACCCCAGCTGCAGTCTTGTGTGAGGTGCTAGGCATTCAATTTTGCACCATGCAACGTCTCTCTTTGGACACTTGCGTGGAGTTGAGGATCGTTCTGTGTAGGGTGTCATCTCACCACGCTTAACAATGGTTGCGTCAGCGCGATGGTAAACATGGGTTTATGGAGTTCTGCTTTTGGTAATCATTGGGGATATGTAGCAAAGAACAGCATCGCGTAGACGAAGGGCTACAGGAAGAAAGACTGACGCGTGAAGTGCGCCTGAGGGGAGTAGCAGAAAATGGGAGATTTGTGGGAGTTCTGTATGGCCAAAGTGTCAGAACAACTGGGAGTCTTTTTCCCAGGGCAACTGTAAACAAAGAAGTAAGGAGATTTGGTTTTGCTTACTAGCGTGCAGCTGCGAGGGTTTTCCTGAAGAGGTGCGGATGATGCAGAGCCATCCTTGCGCAGCAGCAGCCTTTGGTCTGTGGGCAAGAAAGCATAAATAAAAGTTCAGGCTTCGCTTACGAGCCGTTTCCATTTCTGGCAATGAGAGGCAAGAAATCACATGTTGTTCGTTAATTCAGCAGATCTGTCGGCGCCTATCCTGAGATGCTATTTTGGAACCCATTTGGCTGTTCTACCCAGCACAGTACGCACGCTTTGGCTACAGGAGCAATTCCGGTGAGTCCCGAGGAGTCCGTTCGGCACTTGAATGCCATTAATCTCTGAGAGAGCAGTAGCAGTGCTGAGGGTGGCTTGTGGGGTATGTATCATCTTCTCAGAAAATAGTTTGAAACTTCAGTTCCTGCACTGAAAAATGATAACTTCAGGTTTGAACGTATTTGTTGTCAGCTGAACTTATTCAAGCGTTCAGCTTGCATAGTCTGAACTTCAAAAACACATTCTTTGGGCGCTCTGGTAAAGTCTTACGGAAATAGAACCAGCAAGAAGCAGAGGATCAGACCCTGTCCTCGCACGAGAGTGTCTCTGCTAAATTGAGGAACATAAATAGGAAGAAAACCAAACTCGGATCGTTGCGAGAAAATCTTTGCGTTAAACCTCAGCCTCAGCGTGGGCAGCAGGAACGGTAGGATCAGTACCAAACGGTGATTTCACATTGCAGCAGGGGTCCGGATCTGCAGCTAAGCCACAGCTTTGCTGTATTGTAAACTTAGACCGAGGTCGCGATTCGTCTTAATTTAGCTCGAGTGAATTGCAGGTAAATGTAAACTTATTGCTGTTATGGGAACTCCTGGGAACCGTGACGTGTCTGACTGCTAATTGTTTTAAATATTTCGATCTTAATCCTGATGACGGTAGGTGATGCCTAGGTAACTGAGATAAGATCTCCAGCATCTCGTTTGTGCAAAGGTGGAAGAGACGTGCCCACAGAACGTATATGCCTTGTGACGAGATGGAGAGAAAAGGTTGTAACTGATACGAAGGCCGTACTTGGCAAAACGTTGAGAAACGGCTTGACCTTTGGTAAATGAAATTAAGCAGAATTTTTCTTACTCGAGTATTTTATTCTGAGCTATTTTTCTTCCAGACGCCTACCCGTGATGATTCCACCATCTGCAACAACCCCTGTCAGCGATGCTGCGCTCTTGCCGAGCGTGGCTTCTCAGGAAATCTGGCGGTCACAAGTTCCAGGCTATTCTGGATCGGTCGCGCGGCACATAAGTCATCGGGCCAACAACTTCAAGAGACATCCGAAAAGAAGAAAACACATCCGCCCTTCGCCGCCGCCACCGCCGAATACTCCGTGTCCTATTGATTTGATTGACTTTGGGGATCTCCAGCCTCAGAGGTCTTTCCTAGAACTCCTGTTTAATGGATGTGTTCTCTTTGGGCTGGAGTTCAGCTATGCCATGGAAACAGCCTACGTTACCCCTGTGCTGCTTCAGATGGGCCTTCCGGACCAACTGTATGGAATGGTGTGGTTCATCAGCCCTATATTAGGTAACTTTTCTTTATGCTATTTCTTCCCTCTTGTTTTTTTCCACTACACAGGGTTACATGTTTTTGTTTTCTGTACCTCAGCTGTTCACAAGTACATTCTGTGTGCTCTCGAGGTTAAGAAGCGCTAGCTGTAATTTTAGACAGCCGAATGGAGAATAATTCTTGCTGTGTCTTGCCTGAAAGGGGCCCGGTGCCATCAAAAGGTCTGTTCTTTTAGTGGCTTCTCAACCTCTTACATCTTGTGCGACGGTAAGCTTTGCTTACTCTGTTCCTATGTTTAAAAACTAACAAAAGAGGATCGGCGTATCCATTTATGTCCCTGTGAAAAAAGGCATACAGAGACGGTTCCCAAGGGTGCGTGAAAAAAGCAGAGCAGTACTGCCTTCTCCCATTCAACTTTCTGGAACAGATGAGGCCTTCCAATGACGAAAGACCATTAACTGCTACTGTTACGGGCATTGGATTACTTGCCTTAGCATGGAGGCAGAGCTAGGAACGTATCCGTTACTATGGAAAGAACCATAGGATGGGCTATTACTGCTCGGAACCTTTGCTCTGCCTGTTCTTGTACTCACGGGATGTGCTTCGGAAGAAGAAAGTAGATAGGCCTTACTCACAGGCTGGCCCAGAGTAACACAGGCACCTTTCCAACTCACGTGTTTGCTTCCTGCTATCTTCCGAGCTAATTCCACGGGACACCTCCTATCTAAGGCAGGGTAAATAAAATAGCTTGTAAGGAACGGAGTCCTTTAGAACGTAAAACTCTTGTACTTTTACTCTTTGCCTGATGTCAAACTCTGCTGTATTAACGATGCAGGGCGAACCGCTGTGACAGCGAGCAGCAGCACGTTACGTGATTCAGTCCCTGACCTGGGAAATGCCAGGAAGCGCGCTGTGCGTGCACCTGCGTGACTGGGGGTATCGCTATGCCGTGGTGTCCCACCTTTGACTGCCTTTTAAGCTACCTATTTTAAATCCCCTGCAAAACAGGCTTGTAGAAGAACACTACTTATTGGTGACTCCTTTTTTCTAGGGTTCTTGTTACAGCCTTTGCTGGGGGCCTGGAGTGACAGATGCACATCAAGATTTGGGAGGAGAAGACCTTTCATTCTGGTCTTGGCAATAGGTGCGTCTTTTAGAAACAGCAGGCATAACGCTTGTAAAGTAGAAACGTCGCGCACCTCTGCTGTTCGGCACTGGGCCAAACTAAATGTCTCCGAAGTGTCGGGTATCGTGACTCTGAAGAAGGCGGCGAGCGACACCGAGACGATGCTTTGGCAGCCGGAGAGTCACATGTAAAAGCTTCTCTTGTCAGAGTTTGAAGAAATGATGTTTTGAGGGTCAAGAATGTTTTTCTTTGGCCAAAACCAACTCCAGACGTTTGTAAGCTTGAACGGCGGAAAACAATCACGTATATCCTATGAGCCACGCTCGTTCCCCAGACTGCGATGATCCAAACGAGAGCGATAGTGCTTGCCGCGAGGCTGCGTGGGTAGTGTAATGCTTTTAGGGTGTGGAGCGATGCGAGGTTTTTTGCTTACAAGCAGTCGACTGATTTTGATTTTGTTTTATTCCCAGGAGCGTTGCTTGGGCTCTCGCTTATGCTGAATGGCAAAGATATAGGGAGCGCCTTGTCTGATACTGCGAATAACCACAAATGGGGGATCGTTCTTACGGTCTGTGGTGTTGTCCTCATGGACTTCAGCGCAGATTCAGCAGACAATCCCAGTCATGCCTACATGATGGATGTCTGCAGCCCAGTGGATCAAGACAGGGGCCTCAACATCCACGCTTTGTTAGCAGGTATGGTGCTTTCCCGTCATCCGGGAACCCTAAGTAAACAAGCCCTGCATTGAGAAAGCAGAGCCTAAATCACAGGTCTATTCCTGTATAAGCGTAATAACCGAATACCTGGAGAGGTAGCACTAATTAACATTGGAAACACATTTCCGCTTACCGCAAAAGGCTTTTGTAACTACCAAAAGTCAAACAAGACACAGTCCCGGGTTGTTCCCATGAAGGTCCCTCACATCAGTTATAATGCCTAGGGAAACAAAATCATCCCTCGAGGGAGGAGGTTTGGCTTCCTGCAGGTGTGGAAAATGCCTTTTTTAGTCGCTGTGTCGGAGAGGAAAGCGCATGCTGGGCGCTATGATCCCTCATTGCTGTCACCTTCAATTGCCGTACTGCCCTAGTCTAGTTTTCCTCTCCATCGGGAGACCATTCCACGCTCTTGAACGCCTTCATAAGAAAGGATAGTGTCGTAAGGCTTTTCACTGTGTGAAACAGAGTGAGAGAGGTATCCGGTGCCCTCAGAACTTCTCTGTTCATCAATAGTAATGCAGTGGCAGTTTTGTATGCTGTCAACGCGTTGCCGAGTAACGAGCTCGCTACGCTTCTGAAGCGATTCGGTCTGTCCTGGACGCGGTTAGATCTGCGTTCTGCTAACTGAGCGAGGAAAATGGATTTTCGCTTACTTTTAGGAAAACAGTCTTAGCTGACTGATTGCAGAGCCTTGCCACGAGGCTGGCGGACGCTTCTGTTTTGCGGACTGAAATAGTTGAAGGTAAAGTGGTTTGTTCTCGGCAAAGAAAGACCTGTCATTTTTAATTATCGCTTTTACGGCACTGACCTTCTACCTCTTTCTGTACTGTGTTTGTATGTCCAGACTGTCCTCGTGGTGCGGACAACTGTGTTTGTTACCGCATTTGAATTGAAAAGGGATTGAGTAGTAAAACAGAAATAACGTGTCGGATTCAACTCACAAAATCGTTAGACAAACGATGCTGTGCTGTTACTGACTTCTGGGATCGGCTAGGGAAGATAATCTCAGCTCTGTTTTTCCACCAGGTCTTGGAGGTGGCTTTGGTTATGTTGTTGGAGGAATACACTGGGATAAAACCAGTTTTGGAAAAGCCGTGGGAGGGCAACTTCGCGTCATCTATGTCTTCACCTCAGTTATACTGACTGTCGCTACTGTGCTGACTCTAATTAGCATTCCAGAAAGACCCTTAAGGTCCTTTAGTGGGAAGAAAAAGGTGATGAAGAGTCCAAGTCTTCCTCTCCCTCCTTCTCCACCTCTCTTCTTTGAGGAGGGCATAAATGAAGACTTTGCCTCTCATAACTCAGCTCACTTTTACGCAAGTTTTACGAGTCCCATGTCCCCCCTCAGCCCGCTCACGCCCAAATACGGCAGCTTTGTCAGCAGAGACAATTCCTTGACAGGAATTAATGAGTTTGCATCATCATTTGGGACTTCAAATATTGACAGTGTGCTTATAGACTGTTTTACAGGCGGGCACAATAGTTACTTGGGACTTCCAGCTAGTTTGCCCAGGCAGCCTGTCAGCGTCAGCTTTCCCCAGGTGCCTGATGGCCGTTATCAAGGAGAAAACGGAGTTCCGGAGCAAGAGGAGAGCAGCGTTGTGCCAGGGCCTGATGGCGAGATGCTAAGGGTGGGCTCGCTGGATGCGATAAAGCCACGGTCGTCGGGGATCCTGAAAAGACCTCAGACCTTGGCCATTCCGGATGTCGTAACAGGACAGTGTCCAGAAAATAGCAGAAGAAGAAACGTAACCTTCAGCCAACAGGTAAGGGTAGAAAATCAACAATAAGACCGTGCAAATGTGAGCATTCATTTAATCTCTTCACATAGTTTTAAACGTGTGGTGCACAAATCCATCGTTAAAGAGTGCTCGTGACAGTTTGCTTGTAAAAGTCATTACGGGAACAGCAGACCTGCTAAGATTTTACCAGTAAAATAGTGGGTAGGATGTGAATTATGACGGGCGGTCTGTCAGCTGCCTCTGTTAAGATGGCAGAGACAGGAGTGTTCCGCTCTCACTGGGCCACGTGTGAAAGTTAGGTCGGTGTTTTTAGCCCTGCTTCGCCACCCAGGGAGCTACCACGTGAGAGCAGAAAAAGACATATTTTTATTGAGCCTGTATCTTCCCTTTCCACAGAAATACCCGCAAGATAGGGCCAGGGATAGGAGTCTCCCATGAGCTTCTCCTTATGGCAGTCATTACATCTGGTTCCATCAGGGAGGTGAGGTTTCCCTTACCCAGGGATAAGACTCTGACCTCACCTCCCACTGTTGGTGATAACTTGGAATGTCTGAGACCTCTGTATGCTGGCCCATTTTTTTATGATCCGGGATGAGGTAAACTGTCCTCTGTTGTTTTTCGGTTTGTTTGCTTTTTTTTTTTTTTTTTTTTTGGGGGGGGTGTGTGTGTGTGGAGGTGGGAGGGGGTGGGGGGGGTGACATGTTTTTTTTGTTTTGTTTTGTTCGTTCGTTGCTGTTGCCGTACTTTGACCCAGTTTGCGAGAGCAGGCTTTGTTAGGGCCAGGATTTTACATACCGCACACACAGAGATCGAGCATCGAGGTTAGCGAGCAACGAGAATGCGTTTCGATTAAAATCAGCCTCCGCTTCCTTGATGTCTCTAAAACTTGAGGAACCAAATTCACCTGAATGTGGGTATAGCTGCTATTAAATGCAATGGAATTTATGCCTTCCCTCCACTAGCATCTGGATGTGGTTGCTGAATACCCCAGAGAAGCAAAGAGTACTGTTTGAGGCATACTGAAAGCTGCAGCGCAGTGCTGCCGTTTAACGTTCGTTCCAAGGCTGAACTTACAGTTTAGCTAAATACGCTGTTCTTAATCTCCAAGTCAACATGCTGCAGCAGCAGAGTTTTAACTTTGAGATGATTGGATAGGTGTGTAATATTGCATAGGTTTGCTCAAAGGATGTTTAGGTTTTTCTTACCGTGTTTGTTCACCTGGGAGTTCTTACGGCACAGGTTGCTAATATCTTGCTGAACGGCGTTAAGTATGAGAGTGAGCTGAATGGATCAGGCGAGACTTCTGAGCAACCGCTCTCCGTGAAACTTCTTTGTTCGACCGTCTGCCAGATGCCCAAGGCTCTTCGTAACCTCTGCATCAACCACTTCTTAGGTATTCAGAAAGTGCCGTCTTGATTTCACTGTGAAGTAGTCTACCTCGGGTGAATGTTCTTAAATATTTTATCTATTGCTGCAATGGCTGTTAACTAGAGAGGATGTGATTTGTTTCACGTACACTCACCAATCAGGTACTGTCTGTTACTTAGTTTCTTAGGACACCGATAAAGGAAAAAAAACACAAAAAACCCCAACAAAATTCTAAAGCCTATGTTCCTAGAAAATGTGCCTAAATCAGCACGTCCGTTAGATGGAATGTTTACACCGGGATGAGAAACGTAACTGAGCTGAGAACTTGAAACTACCAGCATTTTTTTTTAATTTTTTTTTTTTAAAAAGCTCTGAAATTGGCATTACCGAGCAGAAAGACAAGATTAGTCGTATTTCCCTGCTTACACCCGAGATCGGCGTTCACTTTCCTCCCTTTGACAGCACACATATAGGGGTCCCAGAACAGACCGTGAGGAGGTGCGGAACGTGACACCACAGGAGTGCCCGTAACCAGTGCACCGTTAACTTTACCCTTACCGGTGTGCGACTGATGGTTAGGAAGGGCTCGCAAGCGATCCAGCGTACACAAAGTTGGACAGAAGGTAACAGGTAGTTAATACTCATTGGCTGTGAGGGGAACGAAGAGATAGCATGCATCGGCGTCGCTGATGCTGGTTTGCGAGTAGTAGTTTTTAGCAGTGTCGGAGGCGCTCTAGAGGCTGTAGCCGTGACGTAAGAAGCGCTCCTTCCAGTTCTGCGTGGGAAGACGACAGCAACCTGAAACGACTATGGGATGAGCCGCTCTGTGAAACCGAGCGTTGCGTCCTATCAAAACTCGAAGGCAGCTCAGACTGCTGTAACCTATTTTTCTGCCTTGCTAAACCGGTGTTTTGTGGCCTGCGGTCAGCCTCTGGGATTCCACTTAGGAATTCAAAGTATAAATCTTGGTCTCTAAATTCCTGAATGTCTTTGACAAACATTGTAACGCGTGGGGAACAGCAGTCTCGGATAAACAGGGCTGAACGTTACGTAGTACTCGTGCAACCTCTCTGCGGTTGTGATTTGTAATATGGCTAATAGCGTCTGTGTGAACTTACAAGGGGAAACAGATACTCTGCAATCCTAATAGGTTACTTCTGGCTTCTTTCAGGATGGCTTTCGTTTGAGGGGATGTTACTCTTCTATACCGACTTCATGGGAGAAGTAGTGTTTCAAGGGAATCCGAAAGCGCCTCACAACTCAGATGAGTATCAGAAGTACAACGCTGGGGTCACCATGGGCTGCTGGGGAATGTGCATCTATGCATTCAGTGCTGCTTTCTATTCAGGTACTTAGTGCAGCTGTCTTAGCCACCGCTGTGAGAAGGATGCACCCGCTCCTTAGGCGGCATTTCTGCAGCACGTAGCCTGGCATTTATGTTGCGCATAGCCTACCACACGGCAGGAGAGCTGAAGCAGAGCATTCTTTTTCACCGTTTTATCCCTGCCAGTTAGCTTAGCCTGCGCTGACAGCAGATGAGGTCAGCAGTCCAGCGAAAACACATCTCTGTTAGCATGTTGTTGATTGTTGAAAAGCTCAACATGAGCTGGCAGTGTGTGCTCTCAGCCCAGAAAGCTGACCGTGTCCTGGGCTGCATTAAAAGACGTGTGACCAGCAGGTTGAGGGAGGTGATTCTGCCCTTCTGCTCTGCTCTGCTCTGGTGAGACCCCACCTGGAATACTGCATCTAGCTCTGGGTACCTGAAGGGGCCTACAGGAAAGACGGGGAGGGGCTGTTTATCAGGGAGTGTAGTGACAGGACAAGGGGTAATGGGTTTAAGCTAAAAGAGAGTCGATTTAGATTGGATGAGTAGAAAGAAATTGTTTACTGTGAGGGTGGTGAGGCACTGGCACAGGTTGCCCAGAGAGGCTGTGGAGGCCCCATCCCTGGAAGTGTTCAAGGCCAGGTTGGATGAGGCTTTGGGCAACGTGATCTAGGGTGGGGTGTCCCTCCCCATGGCATGGGGGGTTGGAACTAGATGATCTTTGAGGTCCCTTCCAACCCAAACCATTCTATGATTCTATAAGGTTCCTTTCACGAGTGGCATTTTCAATGTACGTCGAATCCAGAAATACACGTGGCCGCTATAGGCACAGCTCCGGTGAGCACCACTCGGTGCCTGCGGGTCCCAGTGTCACGTGCTGCCCCCGCACCTTGTCATGTGCATCGTGTTTCTGCCCCCCAGGCAGTTCCCATTTACTCCTCCGGGACAGAGGGCACTGCCGGGCCTCAGCTCTGCCGTGCCCTCCGCACAGGTAGGGCAGCAATACTGCACCGTGACAGTGGGATTGGGAAGGGGTCCTTGCTGCTCGCGTGCGAGCCACCGGTTACTCAATGGCGTAACGGTTGCTGCCGAGACGTGGCTGCCTGACGGCTGGGCTGCAGGGCCTGAAGGTGCACCCCTCGGGTCCACTGACCGGCTAGCAGCAGAGAGGGCCGCGATTCACCCCAAATGCCGTGCCGTTGTCTTGCAGCCG